CGATCGAGATAACACCACCCTAGGGGGCTGTCTCTTATACACATCTAGACGTACTGGAAACAGCGTGGTATACCAGGACCTAAGCCACTCCCTTTTATAGGCAATGGTTTCGAAATGTTCGTAAAGTTTGGATTGCATCAAAGTCATCTCGAATATATTTCAAAATATGGCCCGATTGTTGGTACCTATGAAGGTCGACATCCTCAGCTGATAGTTGGGGATCTGGACAAACTTCGTCAAATTCTGATCAAGGACTTCTCGTGCTTCCACGACCATCGAATTTTTGATGTAAATATGAAACCACTGGACAAAGGACTAACGGGAGTAGTTGGAAATGAATGGAAGCGTATCAGAAACACAGTTACTCCGGCCTTCAGTTCTGGTAAGTTGAAGATGATGGTGCCCCTCATAAATGCCACCTGTCAGGTACTTTCTGATCGGATTGACGCTCTTGCAGCTTCGAAGAGCGATGCTAACGTAAAGGAAATTTACGGATGTACAATGATGGACATGGTGGCTATTACACATTTTGGACTTAAATTAGATTCGCAGAATGATCCAGATAGCCCATTCATCAGGCATTTGAAGACGTTCCTCAATGGAGGACGTGTATGGGTGTTCATGTTGATAATGATGTTTCCGTGGTCGTCAAAGCTGTTGGAGGCCATTGGGTTTGACATAGTGCCAATGGAGCCCATCAGATTCTTTGTTGGCATTACTGAACAAATCGTCAAAAATATAAAAAATAACCCATCTGCTGACCGTATAGATTTCATCAGCTTGATGGTGGATGCTCACAAAATGGAGGTGGAAGAAGAGCACGACGGTCTTGTGACTCAGTTTGACGACAACCAACAAGAGCAACCATCCAAACGAGCACTTACAACGGACGAACTGATGGCACAAGCTATCTCATTTTTCTTGGCCGGATATGACGCCACAAGCGTTCTTCTGTCTCTGACTACTTATGCCCTGGCAGTTCATACTGACATCGAAGAGAAACTATATAAAGAGATAGAAGAGCATTTCAGTAAAGACGATAATTTGACTTACGAAACAGTTTCTAAACTATGCTACCTTGATCAGGTAATCCAAGAAACCATGAGAAAATATCCGCCAGCTCCTTTCACTGATAGAGTTTGCAACGAGACGTGGAGTTCGGGTGGCTTAACTATTGAGAAGGGCACGATTTTGATCATTCCGATCTGGGCTATTCACCACGACTCGAAGGTGTGGCCCGATCCAGAGAAATTTGACCCTGATCGATTCACGAAAGAGAACAAAGAAAAGAATCATCCGATGGCGTGGATCCCTTTTGGGCATGGTCCAAGAAACTGTGTGGGCATGCGCTATGCATTGATGGCGGTCAAATTCGCATTGGTGTACATTTTAAGAAAACACCGTCCTGTCGTAGTAGCTAAAACTCCTGTTCCATTGGTGTGTAATGAATTCGGCAAGGTAATGCCCACCGCTGGTATCCCACTCGGTTTTGAGAGAAGGGAATAAATTTTAATATAATTTTCATTTTATATCTTCACTTTTTGAGGGGGTGCGCCGGCTGGGAACCCTTGAATCTGCTACTGAAATATTCATCATTCTAGAATAGGAATTGCCTCCTTTTATATATTGCAGTGTATAAACAAAGATTTTCTGATGTATTCTTTATATATTGGACCAATAAAGATTTAAATGAATGAATGAATCATAATAGGTTTTTTTTAAATTTATCTAGGCAATCACGACCATGCCCGATTATATATTTCGTGCAAACTAACATTTATAAAAATATGATTTATTATCTACTAATTAGCTTGTGACGACGTATTCAAAAAATTTAAAACAAATAAGATACTTTAAACAGTCACTCTAATTTAGTCTCTTTGCAATGTATAGTACTTTTAAATTAATTAAGAGGTTTTTCTTTTTCTCCCCTTTTTGAATTTCGACCACACTTTTGTGAGTGGAAATACTACCGTCTAATTTACGATAAAACAGGACTAGGGATCGAGGTAGTAGGCATATGTACGGGTTTAAAATTATACAAAAGATATAAATCGTTTATAGTAGCAATTGTGGACTTTTGAGTTTATAAAACTGTTGGCCTAATAGGTTTACCCGCTTCCAATTTTACCAACGTACAGTACATTGTTTTCACAATAAATAACCGTTGCACCCACAAATGTTACTGAGACTCGAGGCTGTGAGGTACATAGTGGGTCCAGATTCTTTGCTGGGTGAATGAAGTAAGTTTTAATGAAAGAATGAATAAAATAAATTTTAATATTTGGGGAACCGTGTTCTGTCTTGTCACTCTCCCATCTTTTGAGCGATTTAAAAGACAACAAAAACATTAGCCTTAACATGATTGTTCTCATGAATGACACTTTCCCACCCCTAAATAAGAATAAAGCTGCTGACTACACAGAGATCTCCGAAAAGGGGTCTAAAAGGGGCCGAAAGTGGGGTCGATCGAGATAACACCACCCTAGGGGGTCTGGGGCATGCCCCCGCGAAATTTGTGTTTTCTAGATTCCCGAAAATAAGCTCTGAGGCATTTTGGGCGATCTATTTTTTTCCTTTTTTTAACTTTCCAAAAGGGGAGGGGGTGAGGCTGGCCCTTCCCCCTAAATCCTCAACTGCTTTAACCGGACGTCCATGACCATCGCCCCATATGGATTCGGCCAGAAAATAATCATTCTGTGAAGCCCAGTCGGCCAAATGCTGCAAGTATACGTATTGCCATAACACAATATTCTAAAGCATAATATTTAATACTGCTTCTTATTTAACTGTAATCAGGGACGTAGCCAGTATTTTCAAATGGTTGTGTGTGGGAGGGGGGGAATGGAGAGTTATCTTGCGAGGTACGTAGTACCAAGCGTCGGAGGGTTCGGGCGGGACTGTCCACTCCCTACGTGGGGGTACAGGGGCGAAGACCCTTGGGAGGTAGCACATTCTGGATGTTTTAGGACTGTTTTGAAGGTATAAAGTGAAAATTTGCAATAGACACATCATAAATAATATTAGTAGGCCTAACAATATTCGTAATAATAACTGAACAGTGGCGGATCCAGGAATTCGAAAGATAGGTGGCCCAGACTTTTACAGATATAGGCCTAGTAGGGTCGACCCACCTCAGGCCCATTATGGTTAGGGCTGAGCTGATAAAATTTGAGAAAATAGTTCCTCTAGATATCCGGAAATGACACCTTTATATTATAATCATCAGATCACCATTTTATATAATATGTCAAAATAAATCGCCAACAAATTTCTCATGATCATTTTATCAAGGGATCTTCAGCAACCATATAGAGATCCAATTAATATGCGTGATGTAGGCCTATTATGGAAAATAGAACTTAAAAACATTTCTTTGATGTAGTTACATTACAAGCTTCAAAGCTGTGAATCCACAACCACCTCAGCCCCACCTTGGTTGGGGCTGAGGTGAGAAAATGTGAGCGAATAGCGCCTAAATTTAAGTGAAGCACCAACAAATTTCTCATGATCTATCAGGGATTTTCGGCAGACTTAGGGATGGTAACCCAGGGACGAGGCCTAACTATCTGACTAAGCTTTAACTACAATAATAATTATAAAGATTGGACAAATTACAATTTCTTTTTCGCTTTTAGCACGTCGTCCCCGGAGTTGACTATCACATGGCGTAGGTCAGCAAAATGAGTTATAACAAATAATGTTTTATTTGCATTTCTAATTTGCGGAAACAATTCATGCTTAGACAATTATAGTATTATATGTTTAACATGTACTGTTGTATTTATATATTACTACCCCCCCCCCCTCTCACCTTGGTTGGGGCTGAGGTGAGAAAATGTGAGCGAATAGCGCCTAAATTTAAGTGAAGCACCAACAAATTTCTCATGATCTATCAGGGATTTTCGGCAGACTTAGGGATGGTAACCCAGGGACGAGGCCTAACTATCTGACTAAGCTTTAACTACAATAATAATTATAAAGATTGGACAAATTACAATTTCTTTTTCGCTTTTAGCACGTCGTCCCCGGAGTTGACTATCACATAGCGTAGGTCAGCAAAATGAGTTATAACAAATAATGTTTTATTTGCATTTCTAATTTGCGGAAACAATTCATGCTTAGACAATTAAAGTATTATATGTTTAACATGTACTGTTGTATTTATATATTACTACCCCCCCCCCCTTCCGCCGGATACGTCCCTGACTGTAATTTTAGAAAGACCTTTGCAAATGAAAATCAAATTAGGCTGCTGTTTAGCTTAAGAACATGAGCCAATAATAATTTTGTTTATAATGGGACCAACGTCTTAACGTCTCATCCGAAAGTCGATGCGATCCTAACTTGCATTTCAGTTGGCCCTCCAGCTGACCTCCAACCGGAAGTAGAAGGAGAGCAGCGATGGGGACAAAGAGGTCTTCTCGGTTTATCGCACACACAGTGGCTAGGCCTACCATCAGTTTAGCCGACTGAGCTAAGACTCTTTAATCTATGCCGTGATAATGTAATAATAATTGACATAATAATGGTCGACTTATAGAGTGCATATTGTAGAGACCTATGCGCTTAACATTATTACCCCACCCCCCGGTCACTGGATTAAGCACATATGAAACACATACTCAGGGCTTTGTGACGGGTTTTCAGAATAAGATTATGTTTTGAGTTATGAAACATAATTATTATCATCACCACCATCATATTCTACATCATCATTTCATAATCATTATCATAATTATCATGGGTGGGGGAGGGGGTCCCGATATTGGCAGAAGAGGTGCAGAAAGAAAAAGTGCGGCTCTATAAATTACAAAATTTGACGTGGGTAAACCGTTAATTAGCCTAAAAATTATTCTCCTCCCCCAAATAAGAAAAAAAGGGGGAAAGGAACAATTGGCTATTGCCAATTTTTTTTCTGCCATTGCTAAAAAGCACTTTAACATTTTAGGGAAGCGGGTCCAAACGTCAAAGACCATCATCCCCACCCCTGAATCTGCCCCAGAAGTGCCAGTTTATATAATCAGTCTGTATGAAGACTGATTATCAGTCGGCCAAATACTATGTTTTGCCATATAGATACAAGCTTAATGCATAATAATGAATACTGATACGTCTATAACTGTAATCATATTTAGAAAGACCTTTGCAAATGAAATATTAATTACTCTAAATTTTAGAAAGGCCAAACACGTCTATGGTGCTTCCAAACTTTCTCAAAATAACAGATTTTTAAAAATAAAGAATGCCAACGAGTCAATAATTGTGTTATGTTGGCACAGCTTCTTAGTGATGGGCGTTACAGCCAGTGCCAAGCACTGGGGCCCAGAGCGATTAGAGGCCCATGGTGGGGGGGGGGGAAGCATTCATAAATGGGTCTAAAATATTAATAAATGTAAAACTAAATATTTTGTGAAGAATAAAACAGGCAGCAGATCCCTTAATAGAGGCTTCAGAGGAGTAATTACTTGTGTGCCCGGCCTGTGTGTGTTCATTTCGAATTCAGTTGCGGATTTCAAAATTATTTTTTAAAATGGTAGTGGGGGAGTAATTTATATTCAAATTTAAGTCTGAGAGTGCCATTTCCGGCCATCTATAGGTGCCATAATCATACATTTCTTACCTCAGCTCCACTTGTAAAAGTCCATCCCTAATTCCCTGGGTACCCCCTATTTCGAATTCCTAGATCCGCCACCCTGCAATTGTTTCATTTTACGCGCCAGCAATTTTCTTAATTAGTTTTGAATAGCTGATGACACCACCTAGGCCTCTCTTGAAATAGTTAGGAAGGTTCGATTATCATTAGTATTATTACTCTATAGCTTAGGCCATTAAAGGTTAAAAGCAGGTACACGATGAATTTTCTGAAAACGTGAATCAGTACAATACCAGTCCTAGAATTTTCATTTTTTTTATTCAAAATACGGCTACTGAAAATTTAAAACGTCGGACATTTCGAGATTTCCCTCTTCAAGGGGAAAATTTTCCCCCGCCCCCACCCCACCAAATCCCATAACTTCAACGTCAACGGCCCTCAGTTGAGGCTTACATCAAATGGCCCGGTAATTAATCTTGCATTGATGCCCGTTCCCACCAGCTACGCCGCTGGGTCGACAAAAGAAAAAAGCAACATACTAATAAAGAATATAGTAAAAACTGGATTCTTTAGTAGACCTACATAGTAACATGTTCTGATAAATATGTAGACATTCCTTATTCGTCACGTATTGACTTATTTCAATGATTAATACGTCACTTTATAATTATATATTATTCCGTTATTTAGTGAACATACGCCTTTGAATTAACCGCACTCATTGAAGTGGTACGTTCTACTTACAAATACAAATACAAAATCACTTTATTGCAATCATCAATATAAAAAGAGATTGAAGTTTAACATCAAAACGGGTTTCCCCAAAACACGACGAAACTCACAAAAGCATCATGAAAAGAAAGCGAGGAGAACGTAAGTGTTGACTGTGCAGGGAAGGTTACCAATTTTGGAACAAACCATGATTGATTATAAATGTTTTTGATCGATTTGTGTTGACCTTCGGGATACTAAATTGACTGGGTCTTCTAAGATTGTATTTAGAATCGAGGGCTGTAGGTAATAAATAGTTTAATCTATGATTAGAATCCTTGATTTTGTTAAAGAAATCCCTACACAGCGAACACGTCACTCTTCCAATGTTGGCATTTCAAGCAGAGACCGAGCTCCATTATAACTAACACCAGGAAGGATACGTTTAAGCACTCTTTTTTGGATCTGTTCCAGAACTTGGCTTTGTTGCTTAGTGATATTAGTACCCCACACTGGGGCTGCATATTCTAGAATAGGTCTAATAGTACTGATATAGAAATAAACGGTTCAGCGGTATTAAGACCAGCTCTACGAACTTGTTTTAAGAAGTATAATCTAGTATTGCATTTACTGATGATGCCTATAATCAATGTGGGGCTGCCAGGATAAATTATCTGATATGATAACACCAAGCAATTTAAATTTTGAAACACGTTCCAGGTTACATTCTCCAATATGGAGTAGGTAAATATCAGATTTGACTCTTTTACAGCTAATCGTCATTTCCAAGACTTTTTAACATTCAGTGACATATTATTGTTATTTGTCCATTCAATAATCTCATCAAGAATGGGAAGTTTTGACTGTGCAGGGAAGGTTACCAATTTTGGAACAAACCATGATTGATTATAAATGTTTTTGATCGATTTGTGTTGACCTTCGGGATAGTAAATAGACAGGGTCTTCTAAGATTGTACTTAGAATTGCGGGCTGTAGGTAATAAATAGTTTAATCTATGATTAGAATCCTTGATTTTGTTAAAGAAATCCCTACACAGTCGAACATGTCGCTCTTCCAATGTTGGCATTTCAAGCAGAGACCGAGCTCCATTATAACTAACACCAGGAAGGATACACTTAAGCACTCTTTTTTGGATCTGTTCCAGAACTTGGCTTTGTTGCTTAGTGATATTAGTACCCCACACTGGGGCTGCATATTCTAGAATAGGTCTAATAGTACTGATACAGAAATGAACAAGTTCAGCGGTATTAAGACCAGCTCTACGAACTTGTTTTAAGAAGTATAATCTAGTATTGCATTTACTGATGATGCCTATAATCAATGTGGGGCTGCCAGGATAAATTATCTGATATGATAACACCAAGCAATTTAAATTTTGAAACACGTTCCAGGTTACATTCTCCAATATTATGGAGTAAAATATCAGATTTGACTCTTTTACAGCTAATCGTCATTTCCAAGACTTTTTAACATTCAGTGACATATTATTGTTATTTGTCCATTCAATAATCTCATCAAGAATGTTTTGGAGCCCATTTACCCCATCCTTGCTGACGCGCTTGTAGACGGAGGTGTCGTCCATGTACTTCATACACGGCACTCCTTCCAAATGATCGTCGACAAAGATAATTAACAACATAGGCCCCAAACAAGACCCCTGAGGGATCCCTCCGTTGACCTTTAACCATGGAGAGACAACATGGGCCCGTTGTTTTCTCTCTAAGAGAAATGCATAAATCCTATATAATGATTATTACTCTGCCCTTTCACTGTAAAAGCTTAATTTGAATAATGAATGATGCTTTTGTAGTCCTCTTCCAATATTTCGTAGATTCGTGTTAGTGTAAAATAATTTTTTTTTACGATATTTTAATGACACAAACCTTTACTCAAATTACAATTTGATAATATTATCATTATAATTATTAATTCATTAGTATATTATGTGTAATGGAAAGCAAGCTCGCTATATTAATTCTTGCGATCTGAGGACGGGTGTTATGAATAAATGTGTACAAGTGTTAACCTCTGTATAATGTGAAACGCTCGAATATGGTCATGATGACATCACATCATGACCAATATTGGCACATCATAACTACATGAGCATACAATAGTTTTTGTAAAATAAAATTTGATAGTCTAGAAAGAGCTTTAGGAAAATATAAACAGTATGCCGTAGTACCGTAATAGTAGTCAGAAGCGCCAAGAGGGAAGCAGCCGGTGTCCAGACCCTCAAAACAGACGATGTGGCGGCAGCGGTGGTGGGGGAGACTCAGAGTCGGGGACAGTTGGCTCTCGTTTGAAAGGAAAAAAAATAATTCGTAACAAACAATTCTATGTAGGCCTAATTTTTATATAATTGGAGAATCGTTAAAATAGAGCCTTTTAAATCTCTAAATTGTTGGAGTTTCCGGGGCTTCGCCTACTGCCCATCATCCCCCATCCCATGTGAAGGGTTCTGGGCTAGCCCTGGCTAGCTACGCCCAATTTACGCTCCCATTGCAAAAATCGGCTTGCCCGTCGGGAACATTCATGGTGCCACCACATTCTGCCATTCATCTGTTTCCCAGACTTTGGGAAAAACTCCCTGAAAATATTAAAAATTCCCTTATCCTTGATTCCTTTCCTACTTTTTTGCGCTCGCTTAAATCGCATGTCTTATGTTATAGCCACCCCGCTTAGTTACTTTTGCGCCGCGTAAACTGTTTGATATTTATTGTTTTAATTATTCGATTTCTTGACGTAAGAGTTTATATGTATAAATCTATATATTTATTGTTCTGTTTTGCTACTCAGGGAGTATGGAATCTTAACTTTGTTACAGTGATTTAGTTCACTTTTTTGTTCCTGCCTACTCCCTGAGTTGACTCTATGTGTTTGTTGTTGTTGTGTTTCTGGCAATAAAGAATAAGAATAACAGGGGTTCGGGTCAAGGAGAAAAATACTATGAAGCGTAGAAAATGTAGGCCTATAACAACCATTTTAGAAAAGTTGACATCTGAATAGGCCCTGTTAAAGTAAAAAGGCCATATATTTCAGAGAAACCACTATTTCTAGAAATTCATTGTATTACATTTGACATATTATTTTTTTTTTAAATTAAATATCTAAATCTTAAATGAACGCACAATTCCAAAGAAAGCCGGGGCTTCCGACCCTACTTGATGCCCTTTGGCATCTGTTGTTGGCCCTAGAATCTTCCAGACCCAATTTCCTTACCACTCCCACTACTCCCCTCCCGGCCAAATTCGTCATCGCCCATATAAACGCAATGAACTAATATATCAATCTTAACAGTTGAATAAGCAACTATTTAAAACAATTTAAATTTTATTGCTGGAAGCAGCCAATTCACATTCTTGACAGCAATTTGACCTCTGAAAGGTCATTGTTTGTCAAAAAACAAGGGCCTAAGACTGTCTCTTATACACATCTAGATGTGTATAAGAGACAAATCCTATCCCACGTCAGGATGAGCATCTTGTCGCAGTACCAGTCGTCGCCTTCGAAACGTCGAGGATACATC